AGACTTCAACATGGCCATCTCCTCCCCTTGGTGGGGGGCAATTTCTCACTTTCCCTCTCACTGTTTTGAGCACGCACACATGCCCTACAGCAAAAACTAACCTCTCAAAAAAAAAAAAATATATATATATATAACACTGAGCTACTGGCTATTTCAATGCTTCCAGATTATAGCAATCTGTTGTGATTTTTTTCTATAATAAGTACATTCACTTTATTAATGAATAACAAAGTTATATTCAGCTTTGTGGATAACTAGGTTTCCTTCGTGTTATGTTGGGCTCGTGACATTTTCTTCAGGCTATTGTAGAAGCATTTCATATGTTTTTACATGAATATGTAGTATTTAGTGACTTTGAACATATTTGCCCTAAAGCAGATTAAAATTGAAAACCTGAAACTTCCTGGAGAACTGCTGTCACATGTAACACTAGCCTATTAGGATTTAGAACTGTCTTTAAAGCCATCTTTATTATTTGTAATAAGTAAGGTATCCCAGTAACTCAGCCAAGCACTGACAGGATGTAAATGGTACAGAAGAGGATAGGAAGCATTTTAGCAGAATTAGTCGTAAGTATTGGCTTGTGATACAGCAGGGAGGCTCTACCCGAGGAAACCAGATCCCACATGGTGACCAGGACGCAAATCTCCAGCCTGGTCAAGCTGAAACACATTGGGCACATGTGAGAGTCCCAGGGTCTGGTGAGCAGGACTGGAGGAAGCGGATGGCAGTGTAAGCAGACTGCAGTTGGCTAAAATCTCCCTCTCTCTCACTCCCTTGTGCGCACACACCTGCCCTATCATAAATAAACCACAGCAGAAAAGACCAAAAAATTTTTTTAAGTTAGTTGTAATACTGTAAGCTCTAATTCCTATAGAGAGAGGACATATCAGAGTAGCCTAGTCATTTACAAATATTTTGCAAAACCAAGGTATTGGCCAGCACTAGACACAAGAAAAGCTTTCCTTATGAAAATTAGGGAATTCCCATGTAACAAACTTCCTCATTACTCCATGAAAGCTATTTATGCCTGCAGGTCCAGAATGACATCATTCCCATTGGGAAGAGCTACTTTCCTTAGTTTCTAAATGATTTGGAGTCATATGTTTATAAACATCTTTGAAATATGATACTTTAAAGAGCATAGCCAGTCTGCAATCCGGTGTTTAACACTGTCATTTACCACAAACATCTAGAATTGAAGATATTCTTCAAGGTTACCATTAAAATCGTCAAAAGCAAAAGAGAGAAATAAACATACTTAAGGTGAATATATTTTGCTAAAACTAATCTTGAGTAATTTGAAATCACCTCCAAGAAATGAAACAAAAGAACCATTGGTGATCACAGATAAAACAGACCTGAAATGACCAAGACCTGCCATTCCTTTGCCTGTTCTCCGCTCTTCAATTCAGAGGCAGGGTGGCTGCAATACCGTCGTGTCCCAGCATCACCCGTCTGGTGCCAACTTACACCAGCGGTGGCCTGTAGGACAGTGACCGAGTAGCCACAGTGCCCGCAAGCTGGCCTAAGGGCATTTCTTCTGAACTGTGTGAAGAAGAGTTTTCCCAGTTCACACTATGGAGCCCAACTGGGTTAAGAAAACCAAGTTGTAGAACTTAGTAGTTGTGCAAACGGGGACTAGTCATATTACCTTTCTGTGTCTCAGAGTCCACCTCTCATAAAAGAGAGGATTAAACCAGAAAGCATATATAAAACATGCAAAAATATAGTGACTAGTAATCTGCCTGTGATTGTTGGATATTATTACTGTTGTCTTCAGAAGCTAAAGAAAATACATCTTATAACTGTGCCCACTGTAGAATTCTATAAGTCACAGTCCTTTTACAATGTATATAAAAGCAGTAAAACTATCAGTCATGATTGTGTCTGTCTCAATTAACGGACTGGTTCACCAATCTAGAGCTGAGAAAGCGCACAGCCAACTGAGCGCTCTCTTTCTAGTTACACTTCCGAGCACCACCCTTCCTTCTGGCAGCTCAGATTTATTTCATTTTATTTTATACATGTATTTATTTATTTATTTTTAGCAAAGTCTGTCTTCATTTCCCAATAAGCAGTTCTGAGGGTTGTTCTTTACCAGCTGAATAACAGGAATTATTGGGTAGAGTTTCAGGCATATTTTGAATACATCGGAACAAAGTCACCAGACTCAATTCATCCCCAAAGACATGGACTTTTTTCCTCTGTATTAGGTGTCCCATGGCAAAGGTATTACCGGTGTACAAAACCTGAGGAACAAACCAGAAAACGTTGTCAGAAGAGGTCACAGATGGGAGGCGTTAGACTGTGAAAGTAGATAAAAGTTTGAACCTACCTGACCATATATAAAGAAGTAACCGGTTTCTTTGACCAAAATTTTATTCTCTTTTTCTTCTAGGGCACTTCCTCTTTTAAAGCTGAGAAGCCATGGAACAAATGTGAAAGAACCTACAGGGAAAAGAACCATTTTTAAGAAAAGAAACTAAGAAACACATTGTCCACTACTACTTAGCTCGTTAAAATTATCTGAAACTTACAGGACATTTCTGTCCTTTAGGAAAGGAGGAACAGAAGACAGATCACATTGCCCCACTGGTTTCTCAGTCACCATTGATACAAGGGGTCTTCAAAGAGTTCATGGAGAATGTGTATCATGAAATGTATCATGTATTATATACCAAAAATGTCAAAATTTTTGTTCCAAAATGAATTTGAACTTTAATTCTTTTTCATAACTTAATTCTACTTTTTCCTCTCATTTTGTAATTCAGGTACCAGTCAGACACAAAAACAACAACAACAATTTCTCATGAATATCAGAATGTGTCTTCCATCATGTTTTGTATTTTGGCTATTTCATAAAACTGGATGGAATGAACGGGAGAGTTTGATGCAAAGAATGGACAAAATTTCTTTGCATAACGCACCAGTAGATATTTCATTTTGGTTACTCAAGATGAAGGAGCCAGTATATGAAGAGTGCAGCAAGTTAAGCAAAGGGCATCGGGAAGAAGCAAGCCCTTCCCACCCCATGCACCAGACGCAGTAGCAGAGGAGGGTCCAAGGAGAATGGGAAAAGACGCAGGGACATAGTCCTTTTCCAGGAAACAGTTAAGGAACTTCATAATGACAGTCTGTGATATTCAGGGTCAAATGGTTTCTGTTCAGTATGCTCATTCGCTTCCGCCATCTTGGGAGAGATGATAGGAAGGCCATCATGCCAAGGGTTGGATGAAAGAGGCAGAGAGAAAACAGCAAACGTGCAGTGAGCAGATGAGAGGGGACCAAATTATTAATTACACCTCAGTGCTCAGAGTGGACATTAGTAACCAGTGAGAGGGTAGAAACATGCCTTTCCTATGAGTTCAATTTAAGTTCAATTGATTTTAAATATCAAGGCAAAAGAAGTCAACAGTGAAGTTCAATATGCCAGAAGCTCAAGAAAGGAATGACTTTTACTAAGATTGTGATTAGAGAAAATTTTCTCCCATGGGTTTTCCTAAGAGGGCATAGTATAACACAGGCGCTAACGATGTTCGCACCCTGTGTAAACGCAATGGCTACATGTGCACTTACTTTATAATGTACCCCTACAGAAACAACATATTTGACCTTTTTCCAAATATGGTTCTGTAAAGAGGAATACCAAGTAAGAATCATTTGTTTTCTGAATATTTCTAGAGTTATGACCACCAAAAATCTCTTAGAAAAGAAAAATGAACTTAGTAAAGTTTGCATGATTCAAAGTCAACATACAAAATTGAGTAGCATTCTTGTACACCAATAACTATAACTGAATTAAAATGTTTTTAAAGCAACCCCATTTACAATAACTAAAAAGCTAAAATACTTAGGAATAATTTAACCAGAGAGGTGAAAGATCTCTACAATAAAAACTATAAAACACTGATGAAATAAATCATGGAAGACACACACACAAAAATGGAAAGACATCAGGGTTCATGAATCAGAAGAATTAATATTGTTAGAAGGTACATACTAACCAAAACAATCTTCAGATTTGATATAATCCCTATCAAAATACCAAAGGTGGCATATTGGTAATACAACTGGACTTCCCTGGGAAAGAGCTTGGGTTTGCAGGCTAGGACCTCCCTAATCATGATGGGTGTACAGATGCATGTCTGCAGTCTGGGCTGTTGAGGGCTGTGTGTGAAACAAAGCATTGGGGCTCTTGTTGGAATCTCTCTCCCTCTCTCTCTCTCATTGGGAAAAAAAATAAACTTGAAAGACAGAAAATACCACTGATATTCTTCATAGAAATAGAAAAATATAAAATTCATATAAAGCTACAAAACCCAGAAATAAATCCACATCCATATAGCCAACTGATTTCTGACCAAGATCTTAACATTCATTGGGAGATGTTCGGTCTCTTCAATAAACAGTGCTGGGGAAACTGGATATCTATGCAGAGGAAGAAAAAAAACACCTCTCTCTCTGTCACCATATACAAAAATCAACTCAAAATGAAGACACACATAAGACTCAAAACTATGGATTATTACATGAAAAAATAAGAGAAATATTTCAGAACATTGAACATTGAAGAAAGATTTATTTTATTATTATTATTTTTAAACTCTTGATCACTATACATCATTTGGCTTGTTCATCTCAAACCAGTCCAGCTGAGAATACTATACACATTATCATCAATAGGAAACAAACCATTTCTGTGTCCCACAAATGTCCTGGTTCTCTACTTTTGCTCTCTGATTTCCTACCCTATACTCTTCCCTTATCCCACCCTCCTTTCACACTGTCTCCAATTGGACAAAGATTTTTGGATAAGACCTGAAAAGCATAAGCAACAAAAGCAAAAATAGATAAAGAGAGCTACATCAAACTAAGAAGCTCTGCACAGCAAAGGAAACAATCAACAGAGTGAAAAAATGACCTACAGAATGTAAGAAAACATTTTCAAATTATTCACCTGACAATAAATTAATATCCAGAATATATAAGGTACTCAACTCATTAACAAAACAAACAAACAAAACCAAATAATTTGTCCTCAAAAATGAGCAATTGGGCCAGGAGGTGGCATGGTGGTAAAGGACTGGACTTCCACATGATTGAGAGCAGTTTGAAACCCAGACCTGGCAGCTTGCTTTCTCACTTTCCTTCTCTCTCTCTTCCTCTCTCTGATGAGTACAAGTAACCTAGCAGATTACAAATAATAAAAATAAACAAATACATACAATTAATAAATAATTCTTTAAAAAATGGACAATAGATGGGACCAGCAGTTAGCATAACGGCTTTGTCGCTGGACTCCCATGTAGTCGACCGTGGTTCGCGTCCCAGACCCGGTGGCTTAAAACTCATGCCAGGTGCATGTGAGTACATGCCCAAGATCCCGAGAGGAGAATGGAGAAGGAGGGATTGTGGCGTGGCCATCCCCCCGGGGGGTGATTTCTTGCTTTCTGTGTCTCTCTCTCTCTGTCTGGCGAGCGCATGCGCCCTATAGCAAAAACCTCTTCAAAAAAAAAAAAATGGACAATAGATCTGAACAGGATTCTCAAAAGAAGACATACAAATGGCCAATAAGTATATAAAAATGCTCAAGATGTCTAGTCATCAGGGAAATGCAAACAAAACCACAATGAGGTTTTCTCTCACCCTGCTTAGAATGACTAATATCAGAGAAACAAAACATAATGATGACAGTGATGTGGAAAAAGAGAAACTCTTCTACACTGTTGGTGTCAATGTAAATTCGTGCAGCCATTATGGAAGACAATGTAGTTTCCACAAAATCTAAAAATAGAACTGCCTTTGATCCAGCATTCGCAATACCAGGAATAGATCCAAAGGAAAGGAAACGAGTATGTTGTAGAGATACTTACATCCCCGCGTTCACTGCAGCATTATTCACAATAACCAAGATATGAAAACTACCGAAGTGTCCATCAATGGTTGAATGAGTAAAGAATATACCATGAAATATTACTTAACCATATCAAATAAATTATGTCATTTGAAGAAAATGGTCAAGACTGGAAATAACCCATACATGCTTTTGCTCAATGTGGATAGTACAAAAATTGAATAGACGCAGAGAGTAGGATAGTGATTAGAGTCTGGGAACGGTAGAAGGGAAGGGGTGGTGGAGAGACATTGGTTATTGGACACGAAATTATAGTTAGATAAGAGGAACGAGTTCTATTATCTAGTACACTGATGTACCTGTAGTCAACAAGAATTTATTGTATATCACTGATAAACTAAAAGAGAGGATTTTGCACAGTCCCATAACAAATATCTGAGATGGGTATTCTGATGACCTGATATAAACTTTACTTGCTGTACTTTTTTGTACTGCAAAAATCCCACTTCACTCCACAAATACGTACACTTACTACGTATCAGTTAAAGAAAAAAGTCTCCCCTATGGTGAAGTATCTTGCCGATTTAACCTAGCAAACTACACCTTTCAGACTAACTCCGGCCAACTCTCTCTTATTGCAGACAAGAACATAGAAATCTATGTCACAATATTAAAAGTTACATAAAAATCAAATTGCAGTATTCAGCAATAAAATTGTATTGACACACAACTACACCTATTAAAAAATACTCTAGATGGTAAAACAAAGAAAATTATATTATGAATTTAAGATAAAATGAAGAATAGTTCCTTAGTGTAACTCTGCAAGTTCACATTAGTTAGACGGTGAAAATACGCCAGGGGAAAAGAGGATGATTGACAGGTGGTGAGGAGACTTCAGAAGTCTCCTTTAGCCGTACATTTGCCTGTGTCTCTTAGGCTCTCTCAGAAGTTGTCTTTGACTCTCTCTCCTGAGAGTGAAGGCACCTCTGATATGGGGCAGGTCTTATCACTCGAATTTGCTTTTTCCCTAAAGAAGCGCTCTGGGGAAACTTTTCTTTAAATAAAAGTTCCTTGCATGCTATGTCAGACGACAACAACCAGTGAACAAAAAATCACCTCCATTAAAAATAGCAAAGGCGGGAACCAGCAGTTAGCGTAATGGCTATGTCGCTGGACTCCCACGTAGTCGACCGCGGTTCGTGTCCCGGACCCGGTGGCTTAAATCTCACGCCGGGCGCGTGTGCGTGCGTGCCCAAGATCCCGAGAGGAGAATGGAGGAGAAGGGATTGCGGCGTGACCATCCCCCCTGGGGGGTGATTTCTCGCTTTCTGTCTCTATGTCTCTCTCTGTCTGTCTGGCGAGCGCACGCGCCCTACAGTGAAAATCTCTCCAAAAAAAAAAAAAAAAATAGCAAAGGCAACAGACAGCACCATTGTCTTTCTGTATACAGTATAATTTCAGTGAAAAGAGTATAATAAAATTGGTTTAATTTTGCTTAAATGAGATGATATACCTAAGGCACACTTTAAAGGTAGAGTCCTGACAGCCATGAAGAATTAATACAATGATGGTTATTACTGTTAAATACAAA